ATGAAGACTATTTTATATCAGTGAAATTTGGAAATGAATGGTTCAAGAAAATACAAGGTGTTTTTTTTTTTCTTCAAGTTTAGGGAACAGGGAAAACAATTTAAATCTTAAAAAATATAAATAGGATGTCTAATAAAAAGCAAATCTTTGAAATTCACTAACATATTAGGATTTAAGAACTAGAATGCACTTAAAGGCCTCTTAACCTTTTACAGATTAGGAAAATATGCCCAACATCAAATTACTCATGACACACAGAAAGAAAAAAATTACGCCTACAATTATGAATAAATGTATACATACTAAGAGAAGGATAATGCCTGCCTGAGGAGGATAATGCAGCTCTGTCCCTTTACTTTGGTGTCATTGTAACTACACAGATCTGTGGCTGTCTCAGGTACACTTCAGCTCATAAACTATGGCCAATGAGCAATCAACAATATTGACTGTTTCCCAGAAAAGCTCCTCTATAAACTTAAGGAAGAAAAAAATCAGCAGATAAGGTAGATAATTTTTTAAAGAAGATTGCCCAAACTATGATTCAAAATCCAGAAAGAATAATGACAAAAACTAAGAATTATCAGTACTTAAACTTTTACATGAAAAATTCCATAAGGAAAGCTAACAGAAAAATGACAAAAATATTCGCAAGTTTTATCACAAAGGTTTAATATTACCCTAATATATAAATAGCTTATAAAATTATGAAAAAAAAAGAAATCTCTAGAAAAATGTGTAAGAGATATGAACAAGCAGGATACAGAAAAAGAAATGCAAGTGACCTAAGGTATATGGGCTTTGCCCATAGTAAGAGAAATGCCAATTAAAATCCTTTCTTCTGTATCAGATTAACCAAAAATTTAAAACTTTACAATATACTTGGATAATAAGGCTATGGGAAAATAGGCACTCACATACATTGTAGGTAGAAATGCAAGACTGGTTGATTGACTGATTGAGATTTACCATTTGATCCAAAGTGTTTCCTCTAGTAATCTATTCCCAAAAAAATGACAAAAACATAAAATATGCATAAAGGATATTCACTGCTGCATTATTTGTGAAGTAGGAAACACCAAAATGCTTACCAACAAAGATTAGTCAAATATTCACCAACAGAATACTATGAAAATGTAAAAAGGGATAAAAATCACTACGTGCTTCTAGGGAGGGATCTATTACAAGGTAATAAACAAAATAGTACCCACAACATGTTCTTATCTAAGGAAAGAAGTCCTGGGTGTATGTGTGTGCATATTTAGGTACATTTTTAATGCAAGAATAAGCCAAAAGCTACTAGAAACAATACCTTTGAGGAGGGATGACATAATAAGGATGGAAGAAATAGGAATGAAAGCTAAACTTCTCTATATGAACCTTGTTTAAAACTAGAAACAATATGAAATAAATCAACCATCAGCTGGATACCAAGTTGACCGCTAACCACAGACAAATGGCTTTTCTACACCCTCACAACACAGCAATTTTACTGTGCACACCCTAGCAGCATACATCCTAAGGACGAAAACAAACTGCAAAAAATCCCAAGCGCTATTCAGGATTGCACTGCTAGTAAGTAGTATCATTCACTTGTAATCTTTATACGTAACACAGGATTTTAAAAACTAATTATATTAATGGGATTAAGTATCAAGATTTTCAGCAAGAGAAAAATATGCAAATATAAAATGTTAAAAACCTACAAAATTAAGTTTAAATTGGAAAGTGTGAGCTCTGTATTTTTTAATTTTATTTTTCAATTAGCATACAGTGACAATTCCTTAGACATGTACAGTGTACTTTGAACAAGTCCAGCCCCTCTGTGGGGGTGGACTTACTCCCTTACTCCCTTCTCTTACCCCCTTTTTAAAGTGTTTGGCAGGTTTCATTATGTTTTATGTATCATACTTCAATCTTCTTCATCCCTTTTTTAAAAACATAATTTTCAACTCTGGCCACTGTAAATCCTAAAATCAATGACCAACCTAGTAGCAGGAACAACTCTCTCCCACACACTGTGCTCTCTAAATACCACCTCCCACTCAAAGGGCCAGGACTCTGAAGGCCAGAAATGTACAAATGAGCCAGGAATAAGTTTTACCAGAAAGCAAGGAAATTATCAAAACTACTGATCTATCAAATGGAATAGTAGCCAACTTAACAGGGCTCCCACTGGATAATTTCCATCTTTGGGTATCAAAATCAATTTTGATATCAAAAAAATAATGATTGTAGTATGTTGAGACAATTTGAATACATTAAAGTCATAAGTTCATGATGATAATTTTTTAAAAGTAAAAAAGCAAAAGTCCTCATGGTTACCTTTGGAGGTCGCTAGGCCACCAACTCATTACTGTAGTCTGAAAATAGAGGGAAAGAATTAAGCATTTTCCTTGCCTTCTCTGCACAAACTGTATTTCAGGGTAGTCAAACAGCTGATGAGGGAAAGTTCTTCTAAATAGTCCCAGCTAATAAATACTAAAGGGATGAAAGAATCAGAAAACCACCACTTTGCAGCTTTTTCTGCAGTAATAGTTACAGGCGCTGCTAATCTAGGAAATGATTTCCCCGTGAAGTAAAAGGCTTTTGGACAATTTCACGGTAGATGGATTGGTCACTGAAACCCACTACACAGAAAAATCTTAACATCACAAAAGGAGAGAACTCAGACATTACCTGCCTTTCTGAAAATTAATGCAACAGAAAGTACATTTTCATAATCTGAAATCTACATCTATGAAGTCTTCTTGAACCCCCCCTTCAAATGTTGACTCTAATCAAGCTTCTGTATCACTGGTGCAGAACTTCCTGCAATTAGAGAAATACTTTACACTGGCACTGTTCAAACAGTAACCAACAGACACCTATAACTACTGAGCACTTCAAATGTGGCTGATCAACAAGGGAACTGAACTTTTCATTTTATTTCACTTTAATTAAACACAGCTGGTTGATGGCTACTATACTGGATAGAGTAATGCTTGATCTAGCAACTGCTGAGAGGACACAAAGGGACTAGAGGTACACGTTAAAGGGTACCACATGGCACAATTAGCTAAAGTCAGAAGGGTAAAGAAAAGGGGGGAGGTGAAGGAACTGCTATAGGTTAAAATATTTTAAAGGCAGCAAGTGACTCTCTGGAATTTGGATCCAAACAAGCTAAAGACAGATATGGGGCAGCTGGGGAAATCTCAACTCTGATTGGATACTGGCATTACAGAATATTCATTCATGTAAATGTAAAGATAGTACTGTGGTTTTGTTAAAACTGAAATAAACCTAGCTCTTGGGAGGGAAAACAGCTATGACAAAAGTGTGCGACATCATCTGCCACCACACAATGAGATGAGGAGGGACCAGGCAAAGGTCTTCTACCTCACTACAGGAGAAAAGAGCACCAGTCCAATGAATATACATAATTTTCACAAATAGTTTTTAAAACTTGAATCTACGTACATTTTAAAGGGCTGTGTGTCTGAACGTTTGCAAATCCCTAACCATTTTACTATTCTGATCTTTGTAATGATATAGTCAAAAGACAAGGGGCTCAGGATAAAAATTAATTTAAAGTTGCCACTGCATTCCAAATAAAAAAAATGCACGCTTTATTATATCATTAAGCTACAGCTATTAAGTCTAAATGTAGATACCTAAAGATGTGTAGTCAATGATCCCTACCTTCCTCTTCACATAAAAACTAAACGCAAGTATATGAAGAACTGTTTAAAAGACACCTCTATAAGACTGCTTTATTAAAGAAATGTTTAAAAATTAATAGGTCTAAGGAGGCAGATGTAATAAGGCTGGGGGAAGCTACTTTATGCAAATACATGTACTACAATATAACTATAATGAAAACTGTATTACACATGTACGGTTATAAATAGTTACATTACAGTAACCTTAACTGAAAAGTCGTCTCCAACATCACTCATCCATGCTCCCTGACTTTGTTTTGGATCTAGACTTGCTGTTCCGTTATCTTCACCATTAAAGTGTCAAGAAACTGCTGAAGTCTTTACTCCCATTTCCTGAGTAGGAAGTATAAAGTGCTTCTCCCTTTTCCCCCCACTTCTCCTTCATCCTGCTATAGTTAAAAAAAAAAAAAAATCCTTGCTTAAAAAAAAATAATTAAGGAAAGAGAAGGGGGGAGAAGAGGGAGGAACCTGTCCCTTTAAAACCTTCACTTAATATTTCCCATCCCCGATTTTGTATGCACGGAGCCAGCACTAAGTCCCCAACTTCAGTCCTTCACGATTTCTGCCACATTCCGTACCTCTCGTGCTAAATAGTAACGTTTAAACCAGCTCACTTTTAAAAAATTGCTAACTGTAATGTCGCATCATGAATGAGCCGGCATCACCTGCCGTTAATGGCTAGGTCGCCCCGAAGCAGGAGCTCCGGGGGTGGTGCGGAGTCCCCCCCTAAAAAAAGTGGGCTCCGCGGGAAGACGGGGCTCCGGGGCGGCCTGCCCACCCGTATCCTCCGGGGCGCCCCCGCGGCCCGGCCCGGCCCGGGAAGGGCTGACCACCTGGCTGGGCCGCAGGCAGCAGCGGGAGGCGCCATGCCCGCTTTCTCTAGGCCGCAGGGCGGAGGCCGCCAGGCGGAGGGGCAGGGAGCCGCAGCGGAATCGGACCGGCAGCGGCGACTCGCGGACGGCGGCGGGGACCAGCCGCGAGCCATGCGGCCGAAAAGTCAGCGGCACCACAGCGGCCAGGGCCGCCTAGGGACCAGGGCACGCTGGCCCCTCCCCTGTCCTCCGTGCGCACAGGCGGTTACAGGACTACCACGAGCGCGGCTCCGGGCCTTCCGGGCGTTACCTGGGGCGGGGCCGCGCACGCGCGCCACCGCCAAGCTTACGTCCAGCCTCCGGCGTCGGCACGTTCGTTTCGCCCACTGCCCCCTCACTTTTATACAGTCTTCTTCCGACCTCCCCTACGCGAGAGCAAATGGGCTCACCCACATCCGGACTCTCAGAGCAGCGCCCGCGCGTCACGTGCCCTGGGGGCGTGGTCTGGAAGAACCTGGTGCGCCTTCTGCGGGTAAGGGTTCCCCATGCTTCGGGCCTTGGTCTCAGAGGGACGGGAACGCGTTCATGCCTGAGCGTCAGCGTCTCTGCGCGCCCAGCGGGCGAAGCCTATGCCCTCACCCCGCTCTCGTGTTCATTTTCTCAGTTGCACACCGTGTCGCATGGAAAAGAACCTGCGTGGCGAAGCTAGACCTCCCCCTCTGTGCTTCCGCTTTGGTGTAGCCAGCCTCCGGGCCGGAAGCGGCGTGCTTACGCCGTGGTACGGACGATGGGGGCCTGCGAGGCTCAGTTCGAGAGCCGGGAAAAGTTCGCCTGCTTTCGTCGTAGAAATGCATGTTTACAAAGCTGTAAAACGTATGTCTGTCTCGGGGGACGCACGCATCGCCTGTCTGGAAAGACATATCTGGGCAGGGTGACAGGGTCCTCGGTTGGTGTCATGCCCTGCGCCCAGGGATCTATGGGACTGGGGGGAGAATTGGGTTCTGGCTGCGCTCTCTGCCTGGGGTTTGGAGGACGTCCTCTGAAAGACCCCGCCTAGGAGCTAAGATTTTTTAGACGGTGGGCTAGCGGGAAAAATGAGGGGGGAAAAAAGAGAGCATTCCAGGCTTTGAGACTGTCACATGCCTAAGAACAGTTTGTTTAGGAAACTGGAAATGGCCAGTGTTTGGGACAGTGGGCGGGACCTGAGCATCGCCTGTCTTGATGCTTCCCTGTTTTCCAGGCCCTTAGAGGTGAAGTAACTTAGCTCTTCACCCTGGAAATGAGGTGACCCTGAAGAGCTGCTGTTCCTTTTGTGTTAGGAAGGAAGAGTGGGCATTAGGGATAACGAAAGGGGCTTTTAAATGCAGAGGGTGGAAAGCATGACGAAGTTGGAAGTGTTTTTGAAGAGGGACAGGTGAAAAACTAGTGAGGCCAAATTGTGGGAAGAACTGCTAAGGAATCATTTGTGCAAAATGTATAGATAACAGTTGGAGACAGTAATTCCCAAGTTATCAATCGCCACGAAGTTGACCTAACTTGTTTAATGGGTATAGGTAGGACAAGAAGCAAGCATTCAAAGACAGAAATCTTGCCGAAGCTGGAGTGATTTGATGAAACTTTACAAAAAAGTGAAATCTATATGGGTCTGGGAAAATCTGCAGATTTAAATCAGAGGAGTGGATGAGGGGATTCCATGGGACTGAGCAGCAAGGACAAAGGTTTTCTACTGACATATTCTTCAACTTGTTTGACTTATCCACTGGGTGGTACTGGATGAATTCCAAGTAAAACGTTAAAACCTCACCAGGTTCACTGATGGCTGCATTAGCTGTGAACCTTTTTTCCTGAATCAATACTCATGTCAAAAACCCCTTCCCCAGGGCAGGTACAGTGACTCACATCTGTAATCTCAGCAACTTGAGAGGCAGAGGTCTGGAGGATCAAGGTTTGAGGCCCGCTCAGGCAAAGAGTCAGCAAGACACCTCCCCTCCAAAACCACAGTGTGTTGGTTCGTAGCTGTCATCTCAACTACTTGAGAGACATACATAGGAGGATTGTGGTCCATGCCCCCTTGGGCAAAAAAACATGAGACCTTACCTAAAAAGGAACCAAAGCAGAAAGGGCTGGGAGTGTGGCTCAAGTAGTAGAGAGCCTGTTAGCAAATGTGAAGGCCCTGAGTTCAAACTCCAATACCACCACCAAAAAAAAAGAAAAAATCCCCACCCCAGCCTGGGTTATAGTTATCACACACGTAAGGCTATCTTGTCATTACACTATTGGAGACAAGTACAGACTTGTATGACAGAGTTGAATTCAACTCCCAAAAATTACTTCTTGTGTGTGTGTCCATCATCTCAGAAACTAGGAGAGGTTGAAAGTACCACTGTGCTACTGACTTCAGAGCCTTTGAGATTGCCACTTTGTAGCAGGGAGCACCTAAGGTGATGTCTTTGATGAGACAGGGCCCAAACTTAGAAACAGGAAACTCAGAAGTCCTCTCTGAGCTGACCAGCTCTTTAGATTACATTGTAGTTGTTTTAAGAGAAAACTGAGGAATGAGCCATACTCAGGGAGCTAAGTAAACATCCTGACCACTCGGACCAGACATTGAAGGGAGTGTAGCATTAAAAATCAGGGAAGGCCTGGCCCAGCGGCTCACAGCTGTAATACCAGCTCCACAGGAGGTGGAGATCTAGAAAATAGAGGTTCAAACCCAGCCCACACAAGAAGTTAGCAAGACCCCACACCTCAACCAACAAACCAGGTATAGTGGGTTACACCTATGAGGCCAGCCCCAGGCAAAAACATGACCCTATCTAAAAAATTACGTAAAACAAAAAAGTTGGGTTTAAGTGGTAGAGTACCTGCCTAGCAAGCAGGCGCTGAGTTCAAAAGCCAGTACCACCAAACAAGAAAAAAGGGAAGAGACCCCAAAGGGAGGCAGAAACTGGAGCAGCCTGGAGTTCTGCACTATTGTGCACCTGGAGGTACTCCTTTCAGAGCTCAGCCTGGATGCTTTCTTAAGAAAGGAAGCCATTTTTTCCATATAAATTCCACTGCCAGCATTGTTCTTGCCTTGACGATTTGTGTCAGGCCGCTGGTTGGTCACCTGGCACATCCCAGCTCAGTGTTATCTCAGTATGATCATTAGCTCCTGTGCCTAAGAATGCCAAGGTTTGAGCAAAGGACAGGTATACACTCTAAAGCACTTGTCAGCTGATGTGGGAGAACTGTGATCTTACAAATAAATTGTCACCTGACCTATACAAGATGAGCCTTTCCCAGGGGGATGTTGAACAAAAAAATCCTGGCACTGGATCACACCATCTCCTCAGTCCTCACATTGAAGTAACCTCTTTGACTTACAGGTCTGACAAGGTCAAAGCTGCAGGAAAATGGACAGTGAGGTACAGAGGGATGGAAGGATTTTGGACCTGATTGATGATGCTTGGCGAGAAGACAAGCTGCCCTATGAAGATGTCGCGATACCACTGGTAGGTTAGAATTTGGGCTGAGGATGATGGGTTCAAGGCATGAGCTACAAAAACCTTGTGGAGGTGGGATATCAATGGAAGGTGAACTAGTCAGACAAAGAAATCAAAGCTGTAGCATTCTTTAACTCTAGAAGCCTCTGGAGAGCAGCTAGCTTATCTCTAATTGAAGAGAAATGGGCTTCAGAGAACTGACATGACCAGCTCAGGGATTATACCAAGATTGGAGCTCAGATTTTTTTTTTTGGGGGGGGGTGGTACTGGCTTTGAACTTGGGGTTTTGCACATGCTAGGTGTGCACTCTCCCACCTGTGCCATGCTCTCGGCCCTTTTTTGCTTTAGTTATTTTTCAGATGGAGTTTTGCATTTTTGCCCAGGGCCTGCCTTAAACCTTGATTTTCCTGCCTGTGCCCAGGTATCACAAGGGCACCACCACCACACCTGGCTTGTTAGCGGCGGTAGGATCTTGCTAACTTTTTCCTAAACTGGCCTTAAACTTCTGTCCTCCTAATCTCTGCCTCCTGAGTAGCTAGGATTGTAGACTTGGGCCAACACTCCTGACCTGGAGCCCACATTTTCTGAGCCTTATTCTGTCTACCACACCAAAGCCAGAGGTAAAGCAAATAATGAAAGTTTAGCATATATGACATGGAGGAACAAGAAGTAATAGCATATATGTTTCTTATTTCCCTGCCTTGTCTTGTCAGTCTATAGAAATCTTTATAAACCCACATTCTTGGGACACACACCTATGCTAGGTTCTATAGAAAATATTCAGAAGATAGCTGGCTTTTCTTCTTTTGCAATTAGGCCAATAGACTCCTCTTTTCTTTCCTAATCACTGGACTTCTCTCCAGAATGGAACTTGCTGAATCTCATGTAATAAATAATCCCCAAATTTTGCTTGTAGAAATGTTTATTAAAGCTCTCATTTACGTCACAGAGGCCTAACAATAAGAAGAACAGGGTCTGAAGACTTCTTTAAAGTGTGCCAGCTGCTCTGAGAAGAGCAGTTAATAAAATATGACTTACAGGGATATTGTCTGCTGCTGCTATTTACAGAGATATAAAATATTCAGCTCACCCACATGTTCATTTAAGAACAACAAATAGTAATATAATCAATGAGTAATATACTTATCAAATAATAAGTCAATTTAGTTTAAGTTTAGGAAAATAGTGAAAAGAAAGAGCATAATAAGACTATATTATATCCTTATTAGAAATATAGCTGCCATTTATTGAGTGTCAGTTTTATACTATGGACTGATGTTGAAGACTTACATTCTTTCTAATCTGTAAAGGAGATGGTATCGTCTGCATTTGCAGGCAAAGAGTAGGATCAGAAGGGGAGCTCACCCCAAGGCTGGTAGCTGGGAAGTTGGACTTCACACCTAGGCCTGCGAAGCTCCAAATCCTGTCTTGTAAGCTTTTGTTCATTCGCTCATTTGACACACATTTCTTCAAAGCCTACTATATGCCATAAGACCATGTGAACGTATGAACATAAGATACAGTTTGTGCCCTGAGTGTGTGTGGGGTGGAGGATTCCTAAGTAGGCAACACACATAAATAATTAATTATAATGATAAAATAGTCTAAGTGGGCTGCGAACAGCCATGTAGTGTAGTGACTGATTGCCTGGTATGACCAAAAGTTTAGTGGGGTAGATGAGAGAACCCCAGCAGAGGGAAATGACAGGTGCAGGTTTTGGGAGATAGTGAGACATTCGGGGGGATGGCGGATTGCACTTGTGACATAAGTAGGCACAAAAGTTGGACACAGGTTTGTAGAGGGGTATTTGTTGCCAGACTTAGTCCTCATCCTCTGGATATCTAGGTATAAATGGTCTTCAGAGCAAGACTGCCGTGCTTAGATTTGGCTTTTAGAAAATCACATTAGCAGCATGGGTAGAGATGGCCTGGTCTGGAGATTCAGCTAGTGAGACCGAGTAAGAAGCTATTGCAGTGGTCTGGTCAAGGGGCGGAGGACTGGAACAACAACAACAAAATAGTGGAGACTTTACCAAGTTCTATAGAGCAAGATTTGGGGACCATTTATGTGATAGGGAATGAGGAAAAGGGGCATTTCCCTGCTGACTTCCAGGTGGTAGCTTGGCCCTGTTGCTAATCCATACCTTTCCTTGTCTTGAAATTCTAAAGCAGTCTGTGCACATCAATTTAGCTTTTTCTAGAAACAACAACTATTTATCTCACAGTTTTATCACTCAGCTAGTAGGTCTTCCCGTCCGTACCAACTCAGGTAATCTACGCTAGGCTTGCTGTGTTGTGCTCTGAACCAGTAGACTGGCTAGGGGTTGGGTGAGCCAGGATGATCTCACATGACTGGCAGTCAGCAGGATGTCCCTGGGTGATGAGGTGACTGGGCCTTGTTCTCTCATGATTCAGCAAGCTAGTCTAGATTTCTCAGCCTTGGGACTGAAAGCAGTATCAGAGGGAACTGCAGAGTCTCATAGAACAGCTCACTAATACCACAGCGGCATTCTGCTCACCAAAGCAAGTCACATGTTCAGTCCAAATGCAAGACTGGGGAAATAGATTCCTCTTTTTTATAGGAGTAGCTGCGAAGAGTTCCAGCCAATGGTTGTGTTTATTATACTTGGCTGTGTAGGCACATATGCAATTTTTATGCACTGGTATTCATTGCAAGAGACAATATTCACCAAACGAGAGACACATTTTTTTTTAGAAAGCATATCACAGATGAGTTTAAGCAGAATCGTCTGCCTCTGAATTAAATAATTCATTAACAAATGTTATACTTCATTAACAAATTGTTAGACCAAGCTTCTTTTTATGTTTACTAGAGAATGATAGCTCTTTCAAATATGTACAGGTATGTTTGACTCTCAGTCTTAAATTTGGAAAGTAAGATGTATGTGAGTCAGATACACTTGTACATTGTATAAGTAAATATCATTTAATACATATTGAACATAACTCTAAAGGAGAAAAACCTTCACATGAAAATTCAGTGGTTTACCATTGTAAGAAAACTCGTTAAGTGGGAATTGGTGTTTGCCGAGTTTTATGTTGCCCTACTTCACCACTAGGGGGAGATCTCTATCCCGTTAAATTTTAGTGTCCCTCACCACCTCTACCTTTGTTGCAACAAGCATGTTGGGTGCAGCATAATTTCTTGATAAATTTCCTGTATTTAATGAATATGCCAGAAAATCTAGTGTGATTTTAAAGCACACTCTCAAAAAAGACTTAGTATTGTCTCTTCAGTGTTGTAGCCACTCATAATAACAGCAGATATCCCTGGAGCTCTGGATGCCCACACAGTGCTACGCCCTAAGTCTATATTACCCCATTTACTCCTTACAGAAGTCCTATGGGATGATGGTTGCTTTTTCTCCCATTTGCCAAAAAAGGAAACAAAGGCCCCACAGGTTTGAACAGCCTGCCCAAGTAACGCAGCAAATGGTAGAGTCTTGGGTTTGAATCCTGATTGACTGCCAGAAGCCTCTGCCCTCAGTCCCTTTGCCACCCTGCCTCTGCACAAATGCCAGTGACAGTGCCCATGGTTCCTTCCTAAGACAGACCAGGCCACATTGGAGCGGTGCTTCTCAGCTCTTTCTTTAGGTACACACATAGTTGTGTGTTGCCTGTTCCAAGGAACTCACAGGCTTTGATTCCAGGTGCCCTTGAGTCAGATTGTTGTTCTGAATTTCTACTGTACCTTTTCAGAATGAACTTCCTGAACCTGAACAAGACAACGGTGGCACCACAGAATCTGTGAAAGAACAAGAAATGAAGTGGACAGACTTGGCCTTACAGTATCTCCATGAGAATGTTCCCCCCATTGGAAACTAGGCTCCTTCTTGAGGATGGATTTTTCAGAAAAATGTAGATAAAAAATATTTTCTTTCAGTCTCTGAATTCAAATCTTTGAGTAATAAGTCAACACTCAAAAATGTATACCCACTTAGTTTGTAGCAGCAAAGTGCAATGAAAATACTCAGAATGAGAAACTGAGATTTCTCAGGAATGCAAAATATTTAGCTCTGTAAACCTAAAATTCTTCATTCAGTTTTTTGTGTTTGAATGTAATTGCTTAAACATTTGTTTTGAACTCTGATTTTGCCTCAAAACTTCATATCAAAGTGTAACATTTCCAAAATACTTATATGTGTCCTGTGACACAGGTGGTTGAAAATATAAAAGAGAAAGACAAAGAAAGAAGCCAGGCATGAGAGTTATTGACTTCCCATATTTCCCCACTTCAGAGGCATTCTGACTAGATTTAGCCTGGAGATAAATATGCCTTATATAGGCGTCCCATTCACTGGTTACTGGGATTCCTATGATTCCCAGGCTATTTTCAAACTTTAGATAAGTTTTCAGATTAAAAAGTTATCTGATAGTCACCTCTGCTCTCACTACTGCTGCCTTTGGTGCCACTGGAAAGGTTCTTTGGCTAGATGGACCGACCAATGATTTTATTCAGAAATGGCATCTTTTATTTTCAAAACCCTTCAGATATAACCAAAACACATTATTTAGCACATTTAGTACTAAATAATGTAGCACAATATTTAGTGCTACATTTGTATGGAAATTTATAGTTTGCCACATACATTCATGCATTTCTATCTCCTGCAGTTACTTCTTCTCACCCTTCTTTACTGGTATTTTTGTTTATGTAGCTTTTAGGAGGAAGAAGTAATGAGCTAATCTTAGAATTTCACCTAGAAAGATTAAAGCAGCCCTCCTATAATCCACACACATCCAGGCTAAGCTCCCTCTGCTTCATTGATCTGCCTAGAAATAAGTCCTCTTCAGAATAAAGACCCCAAGGCAGTGTCCCTTCAATAACTGAGAAAAGATAACCTAGTTCATTGGGGGGGACAAAATTATGCCAAGAGGAGACTAAACTTTTCAAAAAAAAAATCTTTGAAAAGCCACAGTTCTTTCATATTCATATTAAATGTCGTCTTCCCAACAACTTGTTTGTGGTGTGTAATATATAACACACCTAAAACCTGTCAATTGTATATAAATCCAGTCTTTCCCTGGAATATTGGTAGACCAGTAAAATGAACATTGTCTTGATTTCAACTAAAACAGAACCATGATGTCTATACAATAGCTTTTGGGTTGTCTGCTTGGCTTATGACCCTTATCCGAGAAGTGCCCCCATGCCAAGAATGGTTTCATTGGCCATTACTTGTAATACAGTACCAGAACTGTACAGAATTAGGTGACCTAAGCTGAGCCAGTCAGATTCTATAAACTAGGGCTTGTATAATTATCCATCTAGGGCCAGCTTGAGGATGATGGGCACATGGCCAGACAAGCTGTTGGAGGATGGCTTTCTCCATGTGTAACAAAACACCCAAAGAAGTGTCTGCATAGGGAGGTAGAGAGAGGGTATCTGGCGCTTGTTCCTGACAGCTTTGCAGTTCAAAGCATGTTATATGGATTCAGTTTGACATAATTACAGCCATCTTGAATTGTAATTGCCATGATTGCCCCTGAGTAACCCTAGCTGAATCTTCCTGAATAGTTTCCCACCGTGTCATAAATAGATAAAACCATTGAGAGTCATATGCGGGGCTTTCCATCTAGACCCTGGCTTCCTGGGTGGATCTGACTCTTTGATACTGAGATAAACCAGGTATGTTCCTGCCAGGATAAGGTCACTTTCGTCCTAACCCTAAAAATGCCCCTCCTTCTGACCCAAATTGCAAGGATTCACCTGGTCTTGCTGCCATCCAGCACCACACTTCTGTCAGTAAGTCCCCAGTATATGGCACTGCAATCCTGGACATGTCTACCTTTCTTTACTCTCAGCACCTTGGGTCTGGTCCTCATGCACTAGGACTGGGTTGTCCCCAGCTTGTGTGTGCGCTCCTCTAGAGGAAGTGCCATGTCCCCTGCTGGGAACATAGCAATGAACAAAGTATGGCTTCTGCTCGTGACTTACTTTGGGTTCCTAGAAGCAAGGCCTAAGGTGGGGCTTCTCATGCGAGTGATTTACTAAGGTGCTGTCAGCATAGAGCATGGAAAAACTGAGCAGAGAGTGCTTTCATCCAGGGTCAAGCCTCAGCCTGATCTCTAGAAGGTGTGGATCATGATGGCCTCAAGAGTCTTCTCACAGTGGGGCAACTGGCTAGGTGTTCTGTGAACTGGTTTGTCCCTCCTGCCATTCCTCAGAGAGAGCATAATGACCCAGGCATTGCCAGGGGACTCAGCTCTCCAGAGGACGTACAACTGGTGTGTCTTTGGCAAGCAGTACACAGTAGCTGGAAAATGGGTACATAGACCAGGTAAAGGGGGTATGGCCACCAACAGTGACTGCCACAGAACATAGGTGGGTGTGATTGGGGGACTTGATTTATATTGGATAATCAAGGGGGGAATGCTGTGATAAGTAGCTTTTAAGTATTCTTTTTGTTGCTGAAATTTTTATACTATTCAAGTCCTTTGTGTTTCCTATGCCCAGCAGAAAGCAGACATGCTTGTAAACAACCTTTCCCCTTGTTTGGGAAGCACAGGAGAGTAGCATGGGAGAGAGTCTAAAGCCAGGAACTTCTTCGGTGTAGTGGAAAGCTTATCCCACTCATTTCCCCATGAGATGGCAAAGTTTAGAGGCTCATGATTAGTGGGGAGAGAAGATCTGAACCTCAACCCTGAGTCTCCCATCCTCTGCAGACCCCAAGCATTGGAGTCACCTCTGTCAAGGCCCCTGGCAGTGAGCATGGGAGCAATGGCCAGGATGGACTAAAGAGTGGGGGTTTTTACCCATTCTCCAAGTCATTCTTGATCTTTCTGCTTACGAGACCCTAAGGGGTTAACAGGGCAACCCAGTGATGACATTTAATTTCTGCTACAGGACAGCAAAGTAGAGCCAAGCAGATTTAACTTACTTTGGAGAAAAAGAAAATTTGATATTTTGTGTCCTCCTTGAGTTTGCGAGCCAGCACCTGACAGATGAGTGGAAATAGCCAAGGAGGAGTTGGGAGGTTACAATTCATTACAGAGAGAAAATTGCATAAAGCCAGAAGTGAGACTGGCATAACAAATGGGTGGCTGGGTAGGCAGGGGTCTTGTTAAAATGTTCCTAGTCATTGAAAGGGTTTAAACCAGAGATAAAATGACCTGATGGATCCATCTGGAGAATGGATTTCAGCACTAAGAATAGAAGTAGAGAGGTAAATTAGTTTTGCTCCCCTAGATCTTGTAATCTCTAGCATGTCCATAAAGAAACATACCTGTCATATCACAGATTTAAATGTTAACAATTTGACAATGGTATTTTATCCCTAGATCCTGTAAGCTTTAATATGTTCATAAAGAGCTTTGCCTTGGCTCAAGTGAGTAACTTGGGGTAGCAAGATGGAGGTGGAAGTTAGAAGGACCAAGGGTGTTTCTTAGAGGTAGAATTGTCCAGGCTTGCCCATTAGTTTTATGGTTCAGTGTGAGCGCTGTTTTATGACCAAGGGCTGAATTCTCTGAGTCAAATGCAGGACTTCCGATACAACCTGTGTTTTCTAGGAACAATCTCTGTCCGGGAGATGCCTATCATTTGAGGTCCAATTTAGACACACCTCTTCACAGTGTAGTGACAATGACAGCTGGCATTAATTGAGCACTTCTATTTGCTCATAATAGTGTGAGTGTGTGTGTGTGTGTGTGTCTGTCTGTCTGTCTGTCTGTGTACTGGGGATTAAACCCAGAGCCACATCATACTAGGCAAGTGCTCTACCACTGAGCTTCATTCCCAGCACCCTGCATTCACTTTTTAGATGATATCATTGTCCTTGATAAAGAGAGGGTGGCTTAAAATAACTTGTTTCAAGTTAAAGGACTTATTCCAAGTCACTCAAATAGTAAATGCTTTCCAACCCAGGCTGTCAGATCTCAAAACTTGTGTCCTCCTCCCAAGTCTCTATAAAACTTTCTATGACCTTCTCTTTCTGAAATAGGAAGAAAATTCTATCAGAAAACTCAGAACTTCCAAATGTTTACTGTGTATCTACAATGGAGACAAAATCTGAAAGAATTTTTATTAGGAACCTGAAGATATGAAATATTAAGCACTGGGGGTATGGCTCAAGTAGAACACCTGCCTAGCAAAGCAGGAGGCCCTGAGTTCAAATCCCAGTACCTCCAAAAAAAGAAAGAAACACTAAAAATTCAACCTGTTGCCAAAGTCTTCTATAGATCATAACTTTTCCACCAAGTCATACTGTTGTCACTTGTTGTACAAGGATAAATCCATAAAGTATTTTCAGATTGTGGTGCATTGCCATAGTTTAATGTCAGTGCAATATAGTACCCAGCAGGGGGCACTCAATTCCTTTTAGAAAGTTGAAATCACCAGCTGATTATTTTTCCTTAACCCTGGAATTGAGCATTCAGAATCAACTGGACATTTGCTTGGAAGTGATTCTGCATATCTGGATTGCCTGAAGGGCAGAGGGAATGGGGTATGTGAAGAAAGTACAGCCTCACTAAGATACTTGTGTACTGCACCTGGACTGGGCAACTCACCTAGTGGACTCTTCACTTATGCTTTGTTGGGGACACAACAGCTGGAAGGCAGTTCAGACTCTGGTTACTGGGAAAGATGGCCAGAATCAGGAGTTTTGCCCACCCATGACCCCAACTTATACTCAGGCTTGGGGCTCTTTCATTAAGCTCTTTTCCAACTCTTTTCGGATAATTTAAAGCCATCCTAGAATAATCTATCAAGCTTTAGAAAGTAGCAAGGCGAGTAGAGGCTGGCCTTAAAAGGGCAGCTGGGGCCTCTTGAGGGGGCTCCATACCTTGTAGTCTACCTGGCCTGGATGATGGATGGCGCTGACCTATGCCCCTGAGCCAACCAGGACTGGCTTCCTGAGTGTACAACCGATGCATAGGCCCCA